ATCAGTAATCACATAGTACACACAATCTCCTAACATATTTGCATGACGTGGCTTGAGCTGCATTCATCATTGTACTTTGTGATGATTATGGTTCCACATCTTAGAACTCTGTGCCAAGTACCCTGGGAGCTGTCACAATATTTATATCCTTGAGGGATCCCATGTTCCTGCTTTGTTTCAATCACAAGATGCCTTACAAGAATGGTCACTGGGAAACAAGTGCTAGCCTCTGCAACAATAGCTGATGACTCCTTGACGTAACACCCTGAGACCAAAAATAAATACAGTGCAGCCCTTCCACCATGGACCAAATGTCACACCAGTTGAAGATGATGTTTTGATGTTTCAATTACTCTGGAGGGCACTTGTAGTACTCTCCAGACAGAGTATGCTGCATAATCCTGGAATGCTATACTCTGCACAACTGGACCAGGCAAAAAGGGGATATGATGGATGCTGAAGAGTTGAACGAGCTGCACAATCTTCCAAGAAGGAAGTTGAAAGCATTGAACAGGAGGAATATCATGTTCTGCATGACACAGCTCTGTGGTGCAAAGTGCAACAAGCCAGACAGGACTTAATTAATAAAAACTGAAAGAACTGTGAATGCTGTAAATCAGGAATAAAAACAGAAGTTTCTGGAAAAGCTCAGCAGGTCTGGCGGCATCTGTGAAGAAAAGATCAGAGTTAATGTTTCGGGTCCGGTGACCCTCCCTCAGAAGGTTCTGTGGAAGGGTCAGAGGAAGGGTCACTGGACCCAAAACATTAACTTAGATTTTTTCTTCACAGATGCTGCCAGGACTTAATTAACCAGAGATAGCAAGATCTGCAGATGCTGGAGTCAGAGACAACACAGTGTGGAGCTGGAAGAACACAGCAGGCCAGGCAGTATCAGAGGAACAGGAAAGTTGATGTTTCAGGTCGGGACCCTTCTTCAGAAAATATCCAGTTCCAATAGATGTAAGCCGCAAGATGCAATGGTCATTCATTACTGAAAATTTGTTGTTGATGGACAGGCAAGCAGGACCTGTCTTTACCCAGTAACAAATGCAGCTATTCTTTTTTCTCTTTGCTTTTGCTATTGCTTAATATAAGTGATGGTTTGAATGCTTTCCAGTTTGTGATGCTCCTACATTGAACAATGAGAATATGTTATGTTACACTGGACATTGGGGAAATAGTAGCACTCCCTTTAGACAGTAGGAAGATGGAATAATGCAAGGATGGGAAACCTGGATAGATTGGTTCTTATTGTTGAATTCACAATGACTGTTGATCAGACAGGTGATGATGTAAAATAGCAATACATTTGTTAAAGTGAGCTTGTATTTGCAATGAAATGCCAGCCATGTCATCCATGTACCCTCAGACACATTTCTTTTCTTGTTCCCCTCCCATCACTTATACTGTGAAGGCCAGGTCTTCACCAGCAGCACTTGACCTATTGCCCAGCTTGTCATTGCACCTGCTCCAGGAATCCCAGGAGATCCCAACAGTGGCAAGTACTTCCCTCATTGCCGAGTGCAAAACAGTATGAGTGGGGCACCAATGCAGTGTGATACATTGCTAAAGAGATGAGCTGCAGAGAATAGTATGAGAAAAGTCACCACAGCTCACAGAGAGAAACCCTCCCTGAAATTGATACTTAGCTAATTTTGGTAAACTTCAGCCCATTGTTATGAACTCAGGTGATGTCACTGCTGGGACAAGTCAGATCCCAGAATTAAATCTATCTTGATAGATGATCATAACTTGTATAAAATAGACCTTTGATAAGACCTCCCTCAAAGAAGAATGAAAATGTGTTTTTAAGAGACATTTTTATTTCCTTCAAAATGATTATATTAATATTTCTATGTCCCATTATCAGTAGTAATATATTGACATTAAGCATACAATGAGTTACATGGCAACCATACTTTACATAAATCTATTTGGATCACAGGACTCAATTTTTTTCATGTGTGCTCTTGTTAATGTGTGTGTTATAACACTTTCTTTTCCATGTACAACTAATTTTTATGTTGTTTGACTGGATGATTAAGGTCCACCAAAACAACGTAAATTGTTGTCACAACTTTTTTCCAAATAAAAGCAAAGACTATCATCTGAATAACTGTCATTTTTTGTACATGTATACATTTCAAAATAATGCAGCGCCTATACAAGACTCAATGTCTTTTTCTCAACTATTGAATATTTCTGTTGACAGGCAGTCAACTTCTTTGACAAACAACTGACGGGTCACTCGATGTTTATTTCATTTCTTGTACTAAAACGGCAATCATATCAATGTCATTAGCATCAATAGCCAATTTGAATGGCTTCCCATAATTTGACACTGCTAAAATTGGAGTGTTTTTCAGCACAGTTGCAAATGGCACTCTGACATTCTTGCATCCATTCAAATATTCTGCCTTTAATTAACAAAATTGTTAAACGAGCCATGACAAGGCTGAATTTCAGAACAAATTTCCAGTAAATGCAATAAATGTCACCACAATCCAGCCATTTTATGTTTAGAACCTCTAAATACTCATTTCTTTAAAAGAGACACAAATGCCTCTGAAATTCAACAAACTCAGATCTGGCAAGAGCCCCATTTGTTATGTTCCCAAATGATGTTGCTATGGGACAAGTCAGATTCCAGAATAAAATCTGGCTTGATACATAATTTTTTTTAATGTGGCAGTCTTTCATTGAAACATAAGCACACAGGATGCAGATTTGACTTTAACAATAAAATACAAGTTTATTACAGAAGAAATAAAAACAAAACAAAACAAATCAAGCTATTGAAATATAGATAACAGAGTGTGGAGCTGGAGGAACACAGCAGGCCAGGCAGCATCAGAGGAGCAGGAAAGCTGACGTTTCGGATCCTCTGATGCTGCCTGGCCCGCTGTTTTCCTCCAGCTCCAGACTGTGTTATCTCTGACTCCAGCATCATTAGTTCTTACCATCTCTGAGGAAGCTATTGAAATATAACGCCTGTAATTGTTCTGAACAATCTCCTTTCTGTAAGAAACTGAGTGGAATTTTATAGGAGCCTGAATGATGTCGGCCAAGTGAGAATTGCTGTAGTATCATGTGAGAAGTCCAGCCAGGCCTAGCTTAATACTGGGGGCCACTTCTATCTTTTATGCATTGCTGAGCAGTGTTTTCACTAAGAGCACGTTCCTCACTAAGCAACAATGAGTTAACAATCAAGAGGAATTGTCGCTTGTCAAATGCCTAATTAACAGCATGATTGACCTAATTAATACTCCGTTCCTTATCTTACCAAAATGCATCACACAAACTGGACACTGAGAATTCTTGACCTGGGCATCAGAGCAGGTACATGGTGATGTCAGCTTGCTGTTTGCTCCAAAGGACCTCCATAATGGACACCAGGCAAAAACATTCAGAGCACGGTTCATGGGCATCAGACCCACAAAACCTATGTCCATGGATATTGGCATCCAACATATGCTAGCCTCTAATAACACTCATGGCATATCTCCTAACCACTTACAGTATGTTTATGCATTTCAATGTTATACCTCATAAGGGGTAAGGAGTCAAATGCAGGCAGTACGCTATTTGTTTTGACTCTTCCGGCCTTATTGTGGGCTGTTCTCCTTCCAGAATGAGCGAGGCTGGTTTTAAAGGAGGCGAAAGTGGGTGGAACAGCTGTTATTTTGATACATGTGTGGGGGTAGCCCACGTGACTGAGCTGCAGAGGACATGAAGGATTGATTAGTGGGTTGGGGTGGGTGACTGCAAGCAAGAGAAGATGTGGCACGTAATAGCAAGCGTTGTACAGGATAAGTCTTGATGAGAAGTGGGAATAGTATCAGAGATAAACTGAGTGTGAGTTATCAGGGAGAAGATGATGGCAGTTACACTGGTGGAATGGAGATTGTCATTGACCTTTTTCTTACATTGCTGTGAGTTCCTCCAGATGGCTGAGACTGTACTGACCCAAGTTTGTCCAAGTTGGCGTGGGCCAGTGTCATGACCTCCTCTGCCGGTCCTAGGGGATTTCAGGCTCTACCACATTCTCAGCTGTAGTAGTCACATTCATATCTTCATCATGAATCCTAACAGAAGAGGTGGAAGCTGTACGTGGAACTGCCTCGATTGAGTATGAGGCTGCCTCCCTTATTGCAGTGAAATAATTGTCAACTTTCAAGCTGTTGCGTCTTTTTCTCGTCTGACATTCACTTTCAAAAGCTCTCTTTATTTTAACAGTCCTCGATAATGAGAAACAAATTCTTGATTTTTTAAAATCCAATCCTTTATGTAAAAGAAAAAAATACAATGCATATAATTCACTATTTTTATATACCTGGTGTCAAGGAGGGAATTGTTTTCTTCACGTTTTATTAGTTTTTTTTGGTCTTTTTAAAGGAATGTCTTTTAAAATTCAATTTTTAAAAAAAGTATATTTTAACGCCTTTAAAAACCATATAAGTCACTTTTATTTAGGCGATCGGAAATACCTAAATTAAACATGTGAATGTCGGAGATGAAGAGAAAGGAGCGGTGCTATGGAGGTGTTTTTGACCTCTTGTGGTTGTGCGGCGGTTCATAGGAACGTGCGAGTTTGAATTGTGTATTTCTTGAATGGAGGCTGGTAGCACATACACGCAGAAGTGCTCCAATAATTATGTAACCATACAAGTATATTTTGACATAACAGAACAAAAATGTCTTTTTGACGTCACCTTTATTTTTAATCGATTATGTAAAACTCGAAATTCAGTATTTGTTCCCGTATTCAGAGACCCGAAACTGTAGCTTAGTTTATGCCTGAATCCAGCACTACGGCTAGGTGCCTGTTCCAAAGTCATGTCACTCACAGTCGTGAGAGATATAGCGCATTTTCACTCGTTATTCAATCACTGGGGAAGGTGATATTGCTCGAATCGAAGTCTTAAATCGGATGTGCGACGGTAAAAGAAAAGCGGGTACCGGTTTCCATTGCACCGGGATGCTTATATTAAAAAAAAGACCGATACGCTTGAGTACGGTCTTCAATATGTTCCGCAGTGCCCGTGTGCAGTGCTAAAAGGACGCGGACAGGAAGATGCGTCGCTGGTTGTTTGCCCCGATGTATCGAAGATACAGTGTGGGAGAGAACGTAGAGAGTTTGCTGACAGATGCAGTTGCTGTTGTATATTTGGAGTGTGGGAGGTTGCAGGTTATGTAACTGTGGGAGTGCAGCGCTGCCTCAGGTGCTGCTTCGTGTGACGCGCGCGGGGTTGGGGTGGAGGTGGAGGCGGTCGGCACGTGGTGCGAGCGCGTGCCTCCCTCTTCCCCGCTTTGCTAGCCGGCCGCGCGCCGTCCTTCAGCTCGCGCCGCGCCCACAGGTAGGTCCCAGCCGGTGCTGTAACGGTCGCTGCATCCCAACCATAACGGCATTCGCTGCGAAATATATCGTGTTTAAATGTCTCTCTCTGTGTCTTTCCTCCCCCCGGTTGCCGCAGCCTTTGGGTTTTCTGTCGGAGAGACATCGGTCCTTCCGGAGTGAAGCTGCCCATTCCCTTTGAAGAATCGGGGGTATAAAAGGTTCAGCTCTCTTTTAATCTGTCAAGGCGCTGACCCAACGTGACTGTCGTTAAACTCGGCTGTTTTCAGGTTTGTGTTGATGTTGTCTCGGTGACAGTTTAGCATCCGGGGGGATTTCTGGCTGTACCTGTAACCCCCATCCACCCCGTTTACGGTGCAACGTGACTGGTGGAGCTGCGATTCCCCCCCCCCCCCCCCCTCCTCCAAATGCTAAAAGACCTGTATGTTCGAATCAAATGTTTTGATTGTATTTTTGCACGGAGTAAAACATGATTTTTTTCTCTCTTTGGAATAAGCCTTCATTGGTGAATTAGAATGTTTTCTTTCCCCTCCTCATCATTTTAAGAAGGATCCAGCAGGTTTGTAACCAGGAATTGGGAGTGGTGTGTTGCCCGCTTCGTAAATCAAAACCATGTAACTGTCAGGTTTAAGGGCACATGATTTTATCTTCAACAGAATGCTTTGCAACAAACTGCGGTTTATAGAATTGAAATGTTTTTAACGTTCGAGAAATTCTCATTTTGATGTTTTGAAAGACGTCAAAAAGAGCATTGTTAGGTATGAATTTGGAATGAATTACGAATTACAGAGGGGTGAATTAATTATTTTCACATTTATCCCTTGTGCAGTTCATGAAAGGAGGGGTGTGGGGAGACGTGTGTTGCTGGCCCCCACAGGTTTCTAGACCAACGAAATTGCCACTACACTGCTTCCTCCCTTACAGTATAGTCTACAATGCACTCCTTTTATTCCCCAAATAAACTAGTATTCCCTGATTTTCCAGAATTACAAATCAGCATTTTGAAACACTTTTGTTAATAATAGCCTGTTGTTTATCACAATAAAACTTGTGTATCCCAGCAGCTCAGGAACCATTCTGAAATTTAATTCTTCTATTTACTAGACAATAAGACACTAAATGGGGTGGAGGAACAAAGATCTGGGAAAACAGAGACATCCATCACTAAGAGTATCACAGCAGGTAGATAAGACCTCCCAATGCCTAACAAAGTACTGGCCTGTGGACGAATAGTCTTCAGAAGCAGTGGGTTTTGTTGAAAGTTTGCGATGTTAATCTCCATAGATGATGTCTCACTTAGAGTTTTTCTTGTAGGAGGAACAATGAATGCCTGGTTATTGCCCACCACTTCTATGCAATTAAATATTGTACATTAATAAAGTGTCTCTACCTAAATGGCATTTTTGGCACGGTGGTTGTATCTCTAACTCTGAGCCGTGAAGCTCTGAGTTCAAGTGCTACATGCTTTAGAAGTGTGTCACAGCATATCTGAATAGGTTTATTTAAAAATATCTACAATTATCAGACATGATACAACTTTAAAATTAAAATTACTGATAAATCAGCCCACAGCAATTGGGCATAAGTATAAAATAGCTGCTAATAAATCAGTAAAGAATTTAGGAGAATTTTCCTTGTATAGTGCTAGATCGGCTTTTTAAGCAGATAAGTATTAACATATTTGAGGGAAACTTGGAACAAACTTGAGAGACATGGAAGAATAAAAGGACAATGATGAGAAATAATTATACTGGGCAAAAACTTGTCCTGAATGTGAGCTCTGATGGGTGGAATTCCTTTTGTGTGTGTGTGTGTGTAGAATTATTAATTTTGACCCAACTCATCCATGCTGACCAGGTTTCCTAAACTGAATCAGTTCTATTTGCCTGTATTTGGCCATTATCTCTCTATACTTTCCCTATCGATGTACCTATCCAAATGTCCATCAAATGTTGTAATTTTATCTGTGTCTACCACTTTCTTTGGCAGCTTATTCCAAATTTAGGCCAAGTTGTGTGAAAATGTTGCCCCAGGTTCCTTTTAAATCTTGCCCTCTCACCTTAAACCTATGGCCTCTAGTTCTGGACTCCCAAACCCTGGGGAAAATGACCTTGGCTATTCACCTTATTTTTGCCCCTCATGAATTTATAAACCCCTATAAGGTCATCCCTCGGCCTCCTACGCTCTAGAGCAAAAAGTCTCGGCCTATCTAACTTCTCCTGTACTCAATGCTCAGACCAATGAAGACAGACGTGCCAAATGCCGCCTTCACCACCCTGTCTACCTGTGTACAGGTCTCTGTTTGACAACGCTTCCCAGGGCCCTACCAATAACCATATAAGTCCTGCCCTGGTTTGTCTTGCCAAAATGCAACACCTCGGATTCATCTGAATTAACCTCCATCTGCCATTCCTCGACTCAGTGGATCAAGTTGTACTCTTAGATAAACTTCTGTCCACTATATCACCAATTTTGGTGTCATCCACAAGCTTACTAACCATGCCTCCTGTATTCTCATCCCAATTGTTTATATAAAGGACGGACAGCAGTGGACTCAGCACTGATCCTTGCGGCATACCTCTGGTCATAGGCCTTCAGTCTAAACAACAACCCTGTACTGCCACCCTTTGTCATTACCATCAAACCAATTTTGTATCCAATAGGCTAGCTCTCCCTGGATCTCCTGTGATCTAACCTTACTAACCAGTCTGCCATGCAGAACCTTGTAGAAAGCCTTGCTAAAGTCCACGTAGACAATGTCTGCCGCTCTGCCTTCACCTGTCTTCTTGGTCACTGCTGAATCCTGTAGCTCTGTGCAGTTAGAAATCGAAACTTCATTTAAGTATATTAACTGCCTCAAAATTTTTAAGCTCTAGATCATTTTCTCTTTTCTGCAGTGCAAACAAGTTTAATGCTTTACATTTGCTTTCATGAATAAGTTTTATGTCCCAAAAGACCTCAACCTGACACACATAATTTACCTAAATATGATTGTGGTAGGATTTAAGTCTAACAATCTCTATGAATGACATGGGCAAAGAAACTAAGAGTAAAGAATCAAGGTTTACAGATGATGCAAATTGAGGTGAGAATACAAGCCCGTGAGGAGGGCACAGACACTGTAGAAATATGTGCAGGTTAAATGAGCGAGCAACAGGATTGCAGATGTAGTATAATGTGATTATTTATTTTGACGATAATAAAACAAGTAGAAACTGGAACACAAAATTGGCATATGTGTTTTATCTAGCAAGTAGGAAGGCAAATAACATGTTAGCCTTTTCTGCAAGTTAGTTAGGAGAGAAGAACAAGGAAGAGTTACTACAGTTGCACAAGGTGTTAGTGAGACTGCACCTGGATTACTATGTGGGTTTTGATCTCCATGCTTTAGGAAGGATCTACTTGCATTGCAGGCAGTACAGTGAAGTACCACCAGATTTGTTCATGGGAGGAGTGTGCTGCTCTGTCATGAGATGGTAGGAAAATTTAGGCCTGTAGGCTCTGGAGTTTAGAAGAATGTGAGGTGGTCTTCTTGAAATATGCTAGATTCTGAAGGATCATGACAGGGAAGACACAGGTGGTTGCCACTAGCTAGGGGATCTAGAAGAAGAGGACACCATCTTGGAATACAGCACTGATCATTTAGATTATGAGTCATTGAATTTTATAGATAAATAGTTTGATGGACAAAGGAGTCTCAGGTTCCAAGGGCAGTCAGGGAAATGGAGTTGAGATCATGATCATATCAGCCACGGTCTTGTCAAATCGCAAAGCAGGCATGAAGAGATGGATGGTCTGTTCCTGGTATGTTCTGTTTCTATTATTGAGATGAGAAGTTTCTTCACTAGAATTGTTAATTTTTGGAATTCTTTACCGTAGAGGGTTGTAATGGAGTTTAATTTAGATAAATGTAAGGTATTGCGTTTTGGTAGAACAAACAAGGGCAGGACTTCTACATTAGAAGTAGGGCCTTGAGTAATGTAGTGGAACAGAGACCTTGGGATTCCGGTACATAATTCTTTGAAGTTTGCATCACGTGGGCAGGGTTGTTAAGAAGGTGTTTAGCATGCTTGCTTTTGTTACTCAGACCTAATGAGTATAGGAGTTGGGAATGTCATGCTAAGGCTGTAGAGGACGTCACTGACGTCCTCTTTCTGGAGTACTGTGTCCAGTCCTGATCACCCTGTTATAGGAAAGATATTATTAAGCTGGAAAGGGTTCAAAAAAATTTACCAGGCTGTTGCCAGGAATGGAGGGTTTGAGTTATAAGGAGAGGCCAGATAAGCTGGGACTCTTTTCACTGGAGGGTAGGAATTTGAGGGGTGACCTTTAGAAGTTTTTATAAATTATGTATAGATAAGGTGAATGACAGTTTTCCCTAGGGTGAGGGATTTCAAGACTAGGTAGCATATTTTTAAGGTGGAAGGAGAAAGATTTTAAAAAGACATGAGGAACAACATTTTTACATGGACTGGTTTGCTCGTGTATGGAATGAACTTCCAGAGGAAGTGGTGGATGTGGGTACAGTTACATGTTTAAAAGATACTTGGATAAGTACATGAATAAGAAATGTTTGGAGGTATATGGGCCAGGAGCAGGCAGGTGGGACTAGTTTAGTTTGGGATTATTTCAGCATGGACTGGTTTGATCGAAGGGTCTGTTTCCGTGCTGTACGGCTCTAACTATGCTGTCTGTGTTTCAAACACATTTGGATTTTAAGTGTCAGGGAATTGAGGTGTATGGGGAGAGGCAGAAAAGTGGAGTTAAGACCAATGATCTGCTTTGATGTTGAATGTGGAGCAAGCTGTATGGTTTACTTCTCTTTCTTGTTCTTAAATTTAAAATGTATTTCACTAAAACTTTACAAAATCCACAATTCTTTTCTAGTGAGGTCATTGCTCCAAGAATTCAATAAATATAAACTATTATAACTATTTCTCCTTTAGTATCAGCTCTCCTCCAATGCCAGTTTTGTTTCTAATAACTAGCACTTTGCAGTTGTAACCATGCCCACTAAACAGTGGTTTTCATGCCTTAAATTATTTAGTTGCCTTGGTTGTCTAGTTCAGTTTTCTAGGCTTCAGAAACTGCCAAGCAGGTTTCACTCGCTGTACACTTTCCAGCCACGTCTCTACTTCCCTTGGGTTTTGCAGTAGCTTCTCCATTTGTTTTTATTTATTTTTGTCTGTTTCCTGGTAGCTCAGATTGATTATACTTATTTCAGAAATTGGAACACTTGTAATATTTGATGTGAGTAAAAAATTTAAAT